TTAAATATATATTTAATATAAGGAAACTACATTTGAGTCCGGTGGGCCCCAAATATCTTTTCCCCTTTGCGCTCTAACATCTATGATAGGGTGTGTGCACCTTGTGTCTAATATTCCGAGCCCTTGCACCACTATAAGATCGAACCCTTGACCTAAGGGGACTTACAGTGACCCCGCCACCAACAGGCCAAGGCTTGTCGTGCGAGCACGTGCGCACGCACGCACGCACACACACACACGGTGAGATCAAACCCTTGACCTGAGGGGACTTACAGTGACCTCACACACACAAATATGCATATCTTGAAACAAAACCGAGTTGATCCTTGCCATGGAACGTAGGATGAACGGCTGTTGGTTTCAACCTTTAACATCATACGTTTGAATGATCAGGGTTGTCAAAACGATTCTTTGTTCGTGAAATGCTCGTGTTCTGCTCGCTAAGCAAACGAGTAGAACACGAACACATTTTTTTATTCGAAATATAAACAAGTCGAACATAAACAGTACTATTTTTTAACGAGCCGAACACAAACTCTACTTGGGACTAGCTCGTTTTGGGCTCATTTACAAGAAAAAGTATTGCATATGGACACTGTATGCAGAGATGCATGCGATGTCCGATCCTGACCGTAGATCACGGTAATCTACGATCATGATATATTTCGGTAGGCCACACTTAAACTTTTTTTTAAAAAAAAAATCGAAATACATGCTGACGGTCAGGATCGGACACCTCGGTATGCAATAATTTTTCCATTTACACAGCCTACTCCTGCGGCAGCGTAAAGTGCCGTAAAATTTAGAAAATTGAAGTTTAGATGTTGAATGCTTGAATACATAGAAATTGAGTGATATGAATGCAAAATTTCAATTTTTGAATTTTTTATCCTAAAATTTTCAGATTTGAATTGGGACTTGAGAAGCCGGAGCCAAAGAGGGCTGTGGAGAGCGCATTGACAATCGGCTTCTCATACATCGCCGGCGGATTGGTGCCGCTGCTTCCTTACATGGTCGTCCCTACTGCTCAGAAGGCGCTGGTCATATCGGTCGTTGTTACGCTTGTTGCTCTTCTCTTCTTCGGCTACATCAAAGGCCGTTTCACGGGCAACCGCCCACTGCTTAGCGCATTCCAGACCACGTTTATCGGCGCCGCTGCTTCAGCTGCAGCCTTCGGCATGGCGAAGGCCGTGCAGGCTGTGCGAATTCAGAATTAAATGAGCAGGAGGAGCTTTTATCAATCTAAATTTGTTTTCAATTGCATGCTTTGTCGAAGTTGTGGTTTGATTTTTCCACCATGATGAGCTATGTATTATCGATCTAGTTCATCGGTTTGTGTTCTTTTGCTTATGATTTTGATATATATATACATATTTGATATCTAAACTGTTGGTTTTGTGTTCTGCATGCTTCGTCGAAGTTGCAGTTTGATGGCATGTTTTTTATTGGCTTTAATCTAAACATTAAAAAATAAATAATTAAGTCCAAATCAAAATTTATTGCATTTCTTCGCAATTCCTCACTCTATCAATCCAGAAAACATATATATATTAAATTATTATTTT